ACGGGGGGTGGGGAGTGAGGGCGGGGGGGGGGCGGGAACTGGGAGGAGGGGAGTTATGGGGGAAAAAAGAGGAACAAATGTAATAATCTGAACAATAAAGATTTAAATTAAAAAAAAATAAATAAAGGGCAAATGTGTATTCAAATAAATAAATAGTGAACCAGGCCAGAAGTCAGAGTGCCTCTTCAAGAAAGAGGTCTCCACCTGGCCCCCAATGCCTTCTAAATTCAAAATAAATAAACAAACAAACAAACAAATAAATAAATGTTTATTTTAATATTAAAAATTATTTTTGCTTTAATAGAAAAATCACTAACTTGAATTAAATTGCTTTACCATTTAAATAATTTATTAGTGACAGTATCATCTATTAGTGACAATAACACTAATAGAATTAAAAATAAAATTGACTGTTTAGATATTTAATTTAAAACACATTATCAACCTACGAAAATAAATGAATAAGAAAATAACACATTCAGCCTTAGCTGGTTTGGCTCAGTGGATACAGCGTCAACCTGCAGACTGAAGGATCCCAGGTTCAATTCCAGAGAAGAGGACATGTCTGTGTGGTGGGCTTGATCCCCAGTGGGGGGGGGGGCGTGGAGGAGGCAGCTGATTAATAATTCTCTCTCATCATTGATGTTTCTATTTCTCACTCCCTTTCCCTTTCTCTCTGAAGTCAATAAAAATATTTTTTTAAAAAGTAAATAACACACTGAAAATCACCAAAATGTTATCAAGTGATGACTGTACTTAAAACTGGGTATTTAAAAATGTAAATATGTAACTATTTCACATTTTAAGTTAATAACCATAAAATTTATAAAATAAGTCCTCCTGATTTTAAAAAGGTATTTTTACCTATATTAACAACTATCCACTGTCATCATTAACTTAATCCTTAATCTACGATATATTATTACATTCTTCTGGAATAGTGGTTATAGCTCAAGTAAGAATATTTTTCCAGTTCCCAAAAGACAGAACCTGAACTTTTGACAAATAAACTCACTGACGAATAAAGATGAGCTTAATTTCATGTGAATTCCTGGACATAATTAGAATAGAGAATTGATGTCTACTTCCTAGAATTTTTATTTTCTGAGTTGGCATTAGAGAAAACTTATGAAAGTCTCCAATGAGAGACCTGGGGCTAGAATTAGAGATCAACATTAACAATGATCTCCACATTGTCAAAGCAAGGGGTCAATTCTGTGATACCACCTTATCCAGACTCTCTGAAGCATTAGAGATGGTTTACAGTCAATTCTTCTTTAAACACTTCCTTCTGTGGGCTATTGTGATACCACCATCTCCTACTTTTCTTCCTACTCAGCTAGCTGCTCTTGCTCAGAATCTTCTACCAGTCTCTGCTCCCCTGAATGTACAAAGCCCAGGGACATCATGAATTTTCTACCTATACCTGTTCCCCCAATCTTCTCATCTTCGTATCATGGCTTTAAATGCAATTCTATGCTACAGACTCCCAAATCTGTAACTTCAATTCTGACCTCCTTAGGCTCTTTTATCCAATTGCCTCTTCAACAAGTCCACTTGAATATTAACAGATATCAATCAAACAGAACTCATGAATTTCCACTACAGACGTCAGTCTTCCTTGTAAAAGCAAATGACACCACCATTCTCCCAGAGTTCATCATTCTCTTTTCCTCACACTCTACATCAATCCACTATAGGATCAATTCTAAAAGAGAGCCCAACTCAGTTCACTTCTCACCCAGGGACCTATGTTTCTTTAAGAATAAAAAAAAACAAAACACATAAAAAAAACTGGTAACAGATGCCAACAGAAACAGCATTTATTCACCCAAAAAGACTAAATCCAAGTGTGTATGAAAAACCAGCACAGATGATTGCTTAGAAGCACCTCAAATGCAATCATGGAAGAGAATTAAGAGCCTGACAAAGCAGAGTATAAGGAGTTATGAGAGGGTAGAAAGCCCACTTAGAAGCAACTGCACTCCACAAATCTGTACTATCTCATCAACCTTCCCCATTTCTGTGACTGTGACTGAATCTTCCAGTTACTCTATGAGGAAAAGAACAGAGGAGAAACATATTTGGCAAACATATTTGTTTCTATTGTACTAGCATCTTCAAATAATAGGTGCTAATAAGAAGGGGATATGAATTTAAAAACTAAGAGAGACATATGAAAAGCAATTAAGTTACTACATACTGTACAGAGATCCTTGTATTGCAGCTTTTGGAATTTTGTATCTGTGTTTCCTGCACATAGTTCCACATAACCAAGAACAACTTGAAACACAGTATTATGAATGGCTTGGGTGAAGTGCATATGAAGTTGATCCATTGCTGTCTATGGAAAGAAAATACACAACATAATTACATGCTATTAAAATAAAAAATTTCAACAGTTTTGAAAAACTCAGGAAAAAATCCTTACAGATTATAGCTATAGCACAAAGATCACTATTATATAGAGAATTATAATTGTAATGTTGATTATTTGCAAATAACCCATTAAGTAACCGCAACACCATACAACTAAAGATAAATCTGAATCGAGAGCACTACTCTGTTGGTCTGCATTTATGATTGGTAGCCATCCTGTTCTTTGTCTTTCATAAACACACCTTTGGGTCCCCTCTGCCATCATTTCCTTGAATTGTTCAGGATGCTTCTCAAGGGTCACCTTTTCAAAGAAGCCTATCCTGACCATCTTATATAAATCAGTACTTTACATCACCCTATCCACTTACTCTGATATATATTTCTTTATAGCACTTGTTTTCTCCTGACATCATATTATTTATTTTTTAATGTCTGTCTTCCTCACTAGAAGAGAAGATACATGACGGCCTATATCCTCACATGAGGTGCCTGAAGCAATGAACAAAAGTAGGTACCAACAGATATTTAATGAGTGAATAACTTTCTCTAATGGGGAAAATTAGAAGTTATAATCATATTTTCAAAGGTCTTATAACGCTCAAAACTACCAAGTATTTTCTCTCTTATGTTTTTAGTAGGTATAGCTTAGGACATGAAAATTAATAAAGTACATTAAAAAATTTATTTGCTCAGATTTAAAAATGTAAGTACAGTTTAAATGACTTAGTAAGGTCTTAAATTTCTTTCTAAGTCAAGAAACCATTTAATGGAAGAAAGCGTTTCCATCTAACATGTTTAGATGTTCTGTAGATACCATACAACCCTACACACCCCTTTTTCAAGTTTTTCAAGGAAGACATTGAGCAGTAAAAGTATGTAAAGCCAAGAAGCATAGAGCGAGTACAAGGACATTCTGGGGATAAGAAAATCCTTTGAAAAAAGTCTGATAAATGCAATTTATCTGCTTTACAGACAAATGTGCACAGTGCATGAAAGTGTATACACCACCCCGAGGGAGTCATGCAAGCCCACCTAGGAACCACGCAGCTCCCAATAAAGAAGTTCTCATTCAGGACCAAAAGGTGAAGTAAAAGAGACTACATATCCTCCCCCACAGAATTAGCTTATACTACACTTGTTTTAAAACCTACATGAAATTGTGAAAATATTAAACCTGAAAAACACTTCACATTTCAAAACAAATTTCTGTAATGTTTTAATCACACTACATATACTCTGAGCCTACGTGAACAACCATGTTACTACTGTGAAGACAGCTAAAAAATTTACTTTGTCAAATAAAACTTTAAGGACACACCGTTAATAATATTCAGACTTAAGCAATGATGAGTATCAGCAGATGCCTAATATTAAAAAAGCAACCTTTCAAGACTGACCTGTGTTTTTCCAAGAAGTCGATAAGCTTGTTGAACCTTGGTATAATGATTAATGTCAAAATTCTTGCAGATTTTAGAAAGAGCCACATCCAACTGTTCCTATGTAAGTAAAAGAGGAGGCAAGAATTAGGCGGTGAAAGAATTAGATTTTCAAGTCAATGGGAAAATATTAAAACTAACATCACTTTTAATTAATATTTAAAGCCATTTACTATCACAATGATCTAATAGTCAAAAGCAAACTTAAATAAAAATATAAAGAAATTATAATTCTCATTTGTTACTAATTATAATCAAATTTTACCAAGATGTTATTAATATGTTTAAAAAAACAACAACACGTCTAGTGTTTCAAGAGACACAAAATCTGTATAACAGTTACCAAAAAAATTTTAGTTTTGTAATTTTTACTTAACTCTTTCCTCATCTACTAAAATCTTATAGCTATATGAACTGAATTTGTGCAACTATTAAAAAATAATGAAACAATCCTATTGTAATCACTGAAAAGTAATTCTCAACAAAACTACATTGACCTTAAAATACATAACTTTTATATCTAAATTCAACAACTTTATGGATTTCTTATCAATTATTTCATTTTAAAATAATGACTTTTCTACATACATACAGAAACTATTGCATATTAAGAGTGAATACAGAGCTTTCAAAAGAAATTCCTCATTAAAATTTTTAAGTGATTACATACTTAAAAGATTTTCAAAGCAGTTATCTTTAGATTTATCAAACAGTCATTCTTACAATTAGTAAATAATTGCATTTATTAACAAAAACTACTTTCACAAAACGCCATTTGAAAGTCCAGCCTAAATTTTTATAACTACCCTTATCGGAAAACAATAAAATATAAGAAACCAAATAATTCTTATTAAATTTATAAAAATGAATACCCTGCTTTGCAAAGATTGCCAAGGAAAGAGATGAACTCTGAATAAGTGACGGAGGAAAAGCAAAACCTCACTTATGCTAATAATGACATATTTTTTCCTTTCCAGTTCTTAGATTTCGTTGAATTATAGGAGATATTATTGAGGTTAGGAATTTAGGAGTGTTTTCATCAGCCAATAATCATTCTTAAATAAATTAACTCACTAAACTAAAAAGTAGTAACGGATGATAAAAAAAATTAACATGGTAAGTATTTTGGCTATAATTTATATGAGAATATACCTATGACTAAAATCTGAGGATCTTTCTGGATATAATGATATTTTCAAATACCGTTTTTAGATACTATAATTTCAAAAGAAACTGCTTGCATTTCAAATAGATTAACATTTACTTGACCATATACAGATATTCCAAATGCAAAACAAATATAGCATAGTGATCTAGAAACACTGGTAAAAACACAAAAGTCAAAACATACAATGTAGCTATGCTATTCAAAAACTGCTGAAAAAAGCCAATTAATTTCTGATGTAATCCTTCTTACCTCAATTTGTTCTAAAGTATCTTGCAGCTTTGAATTCAGTTCACTATTAAATAAAACAGAGAGTTAGATGTGCCTACCTTTAAAAGAGAAAAACTAAGTACTAAATACATGTTAGCTGAATAAATAATCAATAAGTTCACAGATCAATAGCATGAGTAGTAAGTTGTGCTACTGGTTCTAAAACAAGGCAAAAAAAGAAAAGGAAAAAAGATTATGAAGAAACTAGAGGCCCAGTACATGAAATTTGTGCATGGGTAGGGTCCCTAGTGGCTTCCAGCTGCCAGCCGGGGCCTCCCTTCACACCCGCCTTGGCCTGGTACTGCCCACTCACCTGCTCCACCATCCCACCATGGTCCAGCGCCGTGTCAGCAACATGCACCATATTCTGCACCGCCCCCTGGTGGTCAGCACACGTCTAACTCCTGGTTGGTTGAACTCCCGCCCATGGGGACAATTCGCATATTAGCCTTTTATCATATAGGATAAAAGTCATTTCTAACAGCAACAGGATTTTATAAGTAAAAAATACTAAAGAATATATAGATAAAATTAAGAATTTAAGAATTAAAAGTTGATAAAGTTAATATCAAGCTTAAAGATAAAAAGTACAATACAGGTAAAAAGTAGAATTTTTAAAATAAGATGAATCCTATATAATAAAAGCCTAATATGCAAACTGTCCCCTCAACCAGGAGTTTGACCGCTCACTATGACATATGCTAACCATTAGGAGGTGTCACAGGACGTGGTGGGCATCAAGCCTAATGCGTTGGCAGTGGACAGCAGTGGACAGCAGTGGAGGCGCTGCCAGCCTCGACAAGAGCAGGACTGTGGCGGAATGGTGGAGCAGGTGAGCGGGTGGTGCCTGGCTAAGGCAGGTGCAAGGAAGGCAGGCGGGGGCCCAGCTCTGATCAATTGCCCTGCAGATGGCAACCAGTGACCAGCAAGCCCTGATCACCTATCTGGGCTAGGCCACAGGCTAGGATGGGGAACTAAAGGTGGGTGGCAGTGACCAACCTCCCACGGCACCCAGGCCAGGGGGGCTGCAACCTCTTGCCAGCTACCTGAGGGTGGGGGTGACAGGGACAGAGGTGCGGTGAGAATGTGGGGTGTCTGCTGAGCTTGCTCTCACTCCCCCGTTACCCTTCCCCCAGATGCTAGGGCTCGCATGCCAAGGAAGGCCCTCGCCCACGAGGAGCCTGCCCCACACCCTCACGGCCTCTTCCAGGTGAGCCGGGCTGCAGCTGCCGAGACTGCAGGGGATGGTCGGGCTCGCCATGGGTTCGCGCAGGAGCCGGTCTGCAAAGCTGGCCAGAAGAGAGCACACTGCTCTCCTGGCTTCTGTGTGGCGCCACTGGAGGGCTCAATGGCCTACACTGCACCCCAGCCCATAGCGTCCGGCCACGCTCACCCCATCTCTGCATGGGGACTCACGGGCATGACTCAGGCAGAGGAGCCGCACATGGGGGTCTGGGGCCCAGGTGCTGCTCAGGGCTCAGAGGTCAGCTGGGACCTGCCCTTCCATGCCAGATGCTCGTGCCTCGATTGCCGGCCAGGCCTAGGGACTGCACCCATGCATAATTTTCATGCACCAGGCCTCTAGTTTCTATACATTCAAAGGAATAAGACAATAAAAAATTTTAAATCCCATTTCAGTAAAACAACACCTAAAATAAAGGAGACTTGCATGGCCATCGTATCTCGGTGGCTGAGCGTCAACCAATGAACCAAGAAGTCATGGTTTGATTCCCAGTCAAGGCACATGCTGGGTTTCAGGCTCAATCCCCAGTGTGGGGCATGCAGAAGGCAGCCGATCAATGATTCTCTCTCATCATTGATGTTTCTATCTCTCTCTCCCTCTCCCTTCCTCTCTAAAGTCAATAAAAATACATTTTTTAAAAAAACTATATGAAGGTATATACCATGAAAAAGACTAAAACCTTTAATACAGTTATCAGTTCTCACAAAATGATTTCCTAGAATAAGTGAATTTTTAATCAAAGTTCCAGCAGCGTTTGTTTGTTCTGTTTGTTTTTTTTACTTTACTGAATCTGACAAACTGTTTCTAATATTTATGTGGAAATTGAAAGGGCTATGAATAGTTAAGAATATCTTGAAGAGTAATGCTGGAAGACATATATTAAAGCTTATAAAGTTACAGCAATAAGACGGTGACAACATAAGTATACATAAATAAATCAACAGAACAGAATACAAATAAAGGACAAAATGCTTGAACAGATACTTGACAAAGGAGATATCCAATTGGCCAATAAATATTAATAGCCACTCCAATTAGGCATTCAGGAAATGCAAATTAAAACTACAATAAGACAACTTGATAAGCAATCAGAATGGCTAAAGATATTTTCAAAAAAAATTAAAAATTACATCAACAAATGTTGGCAAAAGGTAGAGCAAATGAAACACCAATTCTGTACTGGTGGAAGGGGAAATTGACACCTCTTTGGAAAACTGTATCATCTACTGAAACTCAACACGCACTCTGTATCCCATGAATTCTAGATATGAGTCTAACAGAAATGCATACATAATTGTTAAGCACAACATGTAAGAGGAAAAAATATTGAAACGACACAATTATCTATGAACAATTAAGTCAGTGATGGTGAACCTATGACACAGGTGTCAGAGGTGACACGCGAACTCATTCTCTTTCTCTCTCTCTCTCTCTCTCTCTCTCCCTCTCTCTCTCCCCCTCCCTCTCCCCCTCCCTCTATTTTCCCACCCTCCCTCCCCTTCCTCTCTCTTTTAAAATCGATAAATAAAATTTTTTTAAAAGGGTTAATACAAACATGGTAATGAAAATAATATGAACAAGATGTTAAATATAAAATATATAAATTAAACATTTGGGTTTTACTAAAAATGCTTTCAAAAGTGACAACTCCAGTTTGACAGCAATTTACTACTAATTATAAATACATATATAAAAATTATGTGATTAAGGAGTGGACATCTTAACTGCACAGCCTTTAAAGAAGCCCTTCACCACACTTGGAAACATAAATCAAGTCATTTAAGTCAATTAATCAAAGTATGTTAAAAGGATCTATTCAGAAACATTTGGGTAAATAAAAGCTACATTACTGTCAAAAAAATTAGTACTTCTAAGATGGAAGGCTAAAAGCTATTAAAGGCTATTTACAAGCTTAATGGAATGAATCAAACAATTTTGGGGGCATTTTTACCATCACTGCAGAAAATATTAAAGATAACATGTCCATAAATAACTAATTTTGTTCCTTTGTACAGCTGATCTAGGACACACACTTACAAAACGAGTCTTAAAAAGGTTGCACATAAATCCAAATTTTGTACAAATCTGACCGTACAAGAAGACAAGATGGTATGAAGGTAATTAGCTTCTTAATGATCTTTCCTCGCTATGTTATTAATGAGCCATGTGATTTAAGTCTAGTCTCTTAATATCACTGAGCATCAGTTTCCTATACAAAAGTGGGCTAGATCTAAAGACTGCTACCATCTCTAACGTTTCCAGGTTCTATTATATTGTGAACACCAGTTACCCAGTTTTCACATCTTTGAATATGATTAGATAAGGTGCTAAAACTGTTAGAATAAACTTAAGTAAAATTTATACTTGTAAGTTTATAGTGCATGTTCATGGCCCATGAAAATTCCAGTCTTTTTAGATCAGATTTATTCCAGTGGTTTCAATCTGTTCACAGCTGGCAGAGGATTTATCAATAGACCTCAAGAGAAAATTTGATTTTAAACATTTTGAAGCCAGATTAACAACCTTGGGGTATAATGAAGTGTACAAATGATCCTCCAAACCATGAGCAGACTGTGAAATAACTCCTAAGATCACTTTGAATCTTGCCAGCAGATCTCTGTTCTGGCTCTGTTCAGAAATCCCTGACTAACCCAGAACGCAATATTTCACCCCATAAAAAGCTCAGAGTCGTTGTTAAGGATACTAAAGATATCAAAACATCTCCAACTTGAATTGTAATTCTAGAGCAGAGATCAGGCCAAGGAGCCAAATCTAGCCAACAGCCTATGTTTCTAAATAAAGTTTTATTGGAGCACAGCCACATTAATTTGTTACATATAACTATGGCTGCCTTCCTGCTACAAGGGCAGGGCTGAATAGTTGTAACCAAAGCTTAAAATATCATTATACATCCCTTTAAAGACAAAATTTGCCAATGCTAGAGTTCAGTGGAAGACATTTTGGTTGGTCAACTGATCAAAGTTAAAACAGAAACATATACATGTGAATACCATATACTTGTATTTACTGGTACATTGTCATTTTAACTAAAACTGTATTTAAAAGTACTTCACACAGTCATTTCTGATTTAAAGTCAGAGTCTTTTCATTTGATTTGAGTTTTAACTTCTTAGTCTCATATAAGCCAAATCACAAATTGTATGTAATTTCAAGTTTCAGTTTTCTAAGGTGAAAGAGAAATTTAGAGACAAATGAAAATCAATCCGAATGCCAAATTATATTTAGTTACTTTATATCCCACCATTTTTATATGTTGTCTCATCTTCAATAAATTAAAAAAGAAATTTATTTTTAAAAGTATGGTTTGTTTATCCAATGCATTCAACTTAACTTTCAAACAATGTTTTGTTTTTCCAATGCATTCAACTTAACTGCTTCATTTCATTATTTTACTGACTTAACATAACAGTAACAAACACAACTGGCAGAAACAGGTCTAGGAAAATAATAATATTAACTACTGAAGCAGAATAATAAAAACTGGCTTACTAGCCATGAGCTTCCCACTGTATATAGTAGCCATACATTATTAGACAGTACAGTGCAGTAGTGGTTAAAAGCAACAAGCTCTGCATTCTAACAGACCTACATTTAAATCCTGGCTCTGCCACTTATTTTACAAAGCATCAATTCTTCATCTATAAAACAGAGACAATAACAACAACTCCGGAGGAATATTTTATCAATACTAAGTATGAAAAGTAAAGAAAATGACTAGTACAGAGCTTGACACATAGTAAAGGCCAAACAGCTTCCAATAG